AAGCGATCTGGAGGTGAGGTTAAAATGTTGTGTGTTTTTGAAATTAAATAATAATTAATTAATGAAAATTAGTTAAAATTAATTAATTTTTTTTTTGTTAATTAGATGAGCAACAGCAGTAACAAGAGGGCCCCGACCACAGCGACGCAGAGGCTCAAACAGGATTACCTGAGGATCAAAAAGGATCCAGTGCCTTACATCTGTGCTGAGCCCCTGCCCTCCAACATCCTGGAATGGTGAGACTGGGGAAACTGGGAGAACTGGGAATGGGAAATTGGGAAATGGGAATGGGGAAACTGGGAATGGGGGAATGGGGAATTGGGAATTGGGAATGGGGAATGGGGCAATCCCCAGTGCAGTGCCTTTCATCTGTGCTGAGCCCCTGCCCTCCAACATCCTGGAATGGTGAGACTGGGGAAACTGGGAGAACTGGGAATGGGGAATGGGAACTGGGGAAACTGGGAATGGGAAATGGGGAATGGGGAATTGGGGATTGGGAATGGGGGAATGGGAATGGGGAATGGGCAATCCCCAATGCAGTGCCTTACATCTGTGCTGAGCCGCTGCCCTCCAACATCCTGGAATGGTGGGACTGGGAAAACTGGGGAAACTGGGAATGGGAACTGGGAACGGGGAAACTGGGAATGGGAAAACTGGGAATGGGAAAACTGGGAATGGGGAATGGGGAAATCCCCAGTGCAGTGCCTTTCATCTGTGCTGAGCCCCTGCCCTCCAACATCCTGGAATGGTGAGACTGGGGAAACTGGGAATGGGGAATGGGAATGGGGAATGGGGAATGGGAAATGGGAATGGGGAATGGGGACAGGAAACTGGGAATGGGGAATGGGAATGGGGAATGGGCAATCCCCAATGTAGTGCCTTACATCTGTGCCGAGCCCCTGCCCTCCAACATCCTGGAATGGTGAGACTGGGGAAACTGGGGAAACTGGGAATGGGGAATGGGAATGGGAACTGTGGAAACTGGGAATTGGGAATGGGAATGGGAACGGGGAATTGGGCAATCCCCATTACATCTGTGCTGAGCCCCTGCCCTCCAACATCCTGGAATGGTGCGAAACTGGGAATGGGAATGGGAATGGGGAAATGGGAAACGGGAATGGGGAACAGGAAACTGGGAATAGGAACTGGGAATGGAGGAACTGGGAATGGAAATGGGGAATGGGAACGAGAATGGGAAATGGGGAATGGGAACGAGAATGGGAAATGGGGAACTGGGAATGGGAACTGGGAATGGGGAATGGGTAACGGGAATTGGGAACAGGTAAATGGGACTGGGAACTGGGAATGGAAATGGGGAATGGGGAACTGGGAACAGGGAATGGGAAACGGGACTGGGAATGGGAAATTGGGAATGGGGAATTGGGAATGGGGAATTGGGAATGGGGAACTGGGAACAGGGAATGGGAAACGGGACTGGGAATGGGAAATTGGGAATGGGAATAGGGAATTGGGAATGGGGAAATCCCAGTCAGTGCTGATTTCCCTTTTTTCTCAGGCACTACGTGGTGCGAGGCCCCGAGCTCACCCCCTACGAAGGTAAAACCATCCCTGGGGTGTTTTAGGAATTCAGGAACAGAAAAAAAAACCCAAAAAAACAAAACAAAACAAAAAAATCTCTAGAAATAAACGCCCTAAAAAAAAAAAAATTCCAATTTTGGGGTTTTTTTTGGGGAAATTTTTTTTGGAAGTTTAACATTAACTGAAATTAAATTAATTGATTAAATGAAAACTGAATTAAATTAATTTTCTTATTAAATCGCTGATTTTGAGGAGGTTTTTTGGGTGATTTTTTTTTTGCAAATTAATATTAAACCATACACTTTAAATTAAACAAACCTTATAAAATCTCAAAGTGTTCCCAGCAGATTTTTGGGGTGATTTAAGGTTTTTTTTTTATTTAAAATATAAATTTTTCTCTTTTTTTTCAGGTGGTTATTACCATGGAAAGCTGATTTTCCCCCGAGAATTTCCCTTCAAACCTCCCAGTATTTATATGATCACCCCCAATGGAAGGTTCAAGTGTAACACCAGGTAAAGTTCAATTWAAAAAATCTAATTAAATTAATTTTTATATTAAATTAGTGATTTTGAGGTTTTTATATTTGGTTTCTTTTTAAAGTAAAGGTTAAC